AGCCCGGCTGCACCTTGGCACGAGGGGGATCCTACCTGGCTAGAGAATATGACAGAGCTTTCTCAAGCAGCCCAATTACTGCTATATACCATAATTTTCAAAAAAAAAAAAAAAGACAACTCAAAATAAGCAAAAATGGTCTGTTCAGACCTCAGACAATCTTCCTTTATGTAAATTTCATTTCAGAGCATCTAAGGGCTCACGATAAATAGAAGTCAAAGGATCTCTTAGTGATTTCATTTTTCTGTCAGTGTCAAACCAGCAATATTATCCTAATTTATTCACAAATGGCAAAGGCTCTTCCCGTTACTTCTGTCTTTCAACAGATACATACCTAAAAGCTTCCAGAGTCTGACTGGATTCTGGACTAGGTGCTGTTTCAACAATAATCCATGGATCCCTTCAAAGGTAGGGGTTAGCAGTCGCAATTGCAAACTCTGAAAAAAAAAAGAACGAAACTCAGGATCAGTCATACCAACATCACAGCACACCAAAGCAATGTGGACTAATTCTTTGATGCAAAAAAAAAAATATTTTCTAAAAGCTCACATATGTATTTATTTGTAATTGTTTATATTGCCCTGAAATGTGAAGAAATAGTCTGAGCATTATTTCAAAGTTTTGACACAACATCAAAAGAAAAAAAGATATCAAAACATCAAAAGCAAGAGAGCAAGTCAAAGAAACGCTGAACTGAAAGTACAGAGCACTGGCTACCACTCTGTGCCTCAAGGCTCACAACTATGCTGCAGGATGCAAAGAGCAGAGAGCTCCCAAAGGTGCAGTGACTGTCCAGACTCTTTGGTTCTGACCTCTCCAGGGGACTCCTTGTAGAATACTTCCAGGTACTATAGCAGTTCACCAGTCTATATTTCCAAAGTTCTGTATTCAAGACAAGCATTCTCCTACTTGAATGTGTGTCATTTTCTTAAGGTGGTCCAATTCAACTTTTTCTGTGTCTGTTAGCAATTTCTTAATTTCTGTTTTATTTATTAATTTTTAATTTTTCCCTTAGCTCATCCCTGCTCTGCTGCTGTTATGGAAAAAAGTAACACCTTGCTCAATTCAATGCTCTTTTGTAAGGGGCACATTACCTGCAATTTCCTTTAGTAAAAGAATGAAAATTCCTAGTCTATATAACTATTGTCCCATTTAATTACTACTACGATTCTTGGCTCAGTGATGACCAGAAGTCATACAAAGGAGGGCCACAGAGTGTGGACTGGGCCCAATAAATGAGTAATATCAGTGTGTTAACAATAGCACACGGGCCGGCCGAGTGG